AAAAATGGCGCCGGCCGGCTTCATGCAAATGAAGCCCGGGAAATTCAAATCCCGGGCTTCATTTGCAACTGTGGATGACTACATTACCCCCGCTAGTTCGAACTAGCGGGGTAGTGTAGACATACCCTTCCACCCTTGTCCAGGCTTGCGACCAGACATATTTCAAAAGAATCGTATCGCTCTTCTTCCAGATTTCCGCTTGTCCAAGGGATAAGTCGTGCCGGAATCAGGCTACTTAGTGTTCCATGAGCATTTCCTTATCTGCTCTGACAAGGGTTCTGGAGAACTCTCCCTTTTACTTTGGATTCTTCTACTTACGTGTAAATAGCAACAAAGAATTTTTTGATCTGTGGGCTTGGTCCTCCAGCTACTTTTAAAAACACGTCCTGTGGCTCCCCAGGCCCCTGAATACGGAAATCAGAAAGCATCTTTAGAATAGTTGACGAAGAGCTCGAACCAGCACAATGAACACGCCAGTGGGTCTTTTCCCCTTTATTTTAACCCCCACCACTCCAGTTCCACAAGGAGAACGCTCCAAAACCCAGCCAAACGACCCTGTTACATTATCATTCAGCTTGGCTTCTTCCAACTTGTTTAATTACAAAAGAGGATACAAATGGCTCTCCCATTCTGGGTTTGTTTCAGTAATTAGATTTTGCAGAATTTTCCCCAAGTTTTCTAACAAGCCATAATCCAATTACCACGCCAGCAGATTTCTGCAATAGCAATTAACAAACACCTTCATTACCATCCGCACTTATGTGTGTGAGTTTGTTTTTCATGTAAATCCCAAATGGCGGAAAATAAAACCCTGGAACCTTGGAGTCAAAGCTAAAAATTACAGCACAGGACACAACATGAGCCGCACTTCAGGGGAAATATTAACTATTTCATAACGGAGACATGTCGGGGCCCTGATCCAAAGTGAACTGAGGTTACTAGCAGGCTCTGACTGTCAATGGGCTTTGGATCAGGGTGTCAGAGAAAGAAATATGAAGGCAGCAGGAGATAAGCAACACTTGTATAGTGGAGAAATAGCATCGCCTGAAAGGAAAGGGATCATAAGTTACATCGATGGCACGGCCCTCATCCTTGTAGCATTTGAGTTCTTGGATGTTGTCGTGGAATAGGAAACATAGAACAGCACAGCAATCCTGTTTAAGTTTTATGTTCTATTCAATAAGGACACATTGTTATTTCCTTCACTATAGGCCATTTTAGAACCTCTGATTTCAGAAGAATTTATTTGTGGAGCCTATCTGGAGAGATGGCATTGTCGAAAGAGGCAGTTTCACCAGTATTTCAAATCTGGCCTCCCTGCAGATGAGAATGCCGCACAGTGTGCCAAAGTATGGTATAAATTGCAGCCTCAAATCCACACTATAAAAAGAGCGAGAGCAGGCAAGAGACGATTTGCCCTCTTTTGAACAAGGCAGTGAGGCAGTTGCAACCTAGTCCCACCCAATATAGTGTCATTACAAGTCAATGCGCCATTGGCGTGTGGTATCTCTGCTCTAGACAACACGATCAATAGAAAAGAAAAGGCTACACGCCACTGGATTGCCGTTTGCTTTGTGTAAGCTGTACCATTTTTTTGGTTTCGCAAATGATGTTGGGGTCACTGCAGCGGACGTACATCTCGGGTTCCCCACCTGGCATTCCCGCAGGAGCACCTGGGAAAAAGAGCATAAGATGACTCTCTCCTGACCATCAGGCATAACCCCTCTGTCCTGCCCTGGTTGGCAGAAAGGCCTGTGAGCTGCAAACCTCTAAGCATGACTCCCTTTCCCACCCCCAACCCTGCAAAGCAACACATATCTGCAGGACAGTTCTCAGCCGGATGCTGACAGCTACCTGGCAGAGTGTACCACGGAGGTAACCGTATGGATTTCTTCAGGAAGGTGAGCTCCGGGTGATAGAATCGGAACGTCTGATCCACCACGGGGGGCTGAGACTCCACACTGACACTGAGAATCGCAATGGGTTTGTGGCCATTTGCCTTAAAGGAGACCTGTGCCAAACAAAACATAATGCTCAATTCACGGCGAGAGAACGGAAAGGGACTGACAACAAATGCTGCAGCAAGAGCAAACGTCACCTCCGGCTTTCACTCTGGTCGATAACGGGAACGAATGAATATCCATTCCCCGTCTGCTTACGGTACTGGGGGAGTTACCACTGTCCAGCCTGAGACCTGGGGTGCTAGTAAGAGAATTCAATTTAAACAAACACGGGATGGCAAAATCTAAAACTGTGAAAGGAATCTCTGGGTCACTGAAACCATGTCGTTTCAGGGGAGCAGCTTTGCAGCAATAATTGACAGAGGAATGAGAAACCAAGCATGGGATGGGGACATGGAGGTCAATAGATATGTTTGTGAACAAAATCCTTTTTAAAACAGGGCTTGCCCATGCTGTAAAGTCATTGTCTTTTGCTCTTTTCATAACAAAAACTGGATGAGAAACCTTACAGACATGACTGTATATATGTAAAGTCACCGAGGGGTAGCCATGTTAGTCTGTAACCTTAAAAAAACAAGTAGTCCGGTTGCCAGATAGATAGATAGATAGATAGATAGATAGGCAGGCCACGTAGGGATGACTGGATGGATGGATGGATAGATAGAATTATATATAGATAGATCTATATAGAATTCACAATATCACTGTATCTCTACATAGCTATAGAATTCTATATTCAACTATATAGAGAATTCTGTATATAGGAAAGAGATAATCATGAGTTTTCCTGGGTAAATTTCATCTGATGAAGTGGCTTTTACCCACAAAAGCTCATGATTCTCTATATTTTGTGACTATGTGTTTGGGTGCTGAATAGCCACATTCACTAAATATAAAGCCTCGTTATCCACACCCTGCCATGCTGGTTTTTTGTGGCATTTACACCAGAGGGCTTATAAAATACTTAAAGGGATACTACCCCATTTTATACACTACAATAGACACCCAATGAAATTCATAAATATTTAGTTCCTGATAAACTTATGGTCTGGCCTGCCATAAATGAGCAATTAAAAGGGCTTACGTATGTTTAGCTCAATCTTTGTCTCAGGTTTTTTATCATTCTAACAGGCTGTCAAACCCATTGCATTCTACTGAAATGATGGCACTTCTTTTTGCCTCTGTTACCTTGATGCGTTTTGTCAGCAAGGCACTGGATTTCCAGGGTGGTGCAGTTTCCTTGCCTTTATTGAATCTCAGCTCAGCAGGGCCGGGCTATAAAGAAAGCAGCAGTAATCATTCAGAGAAGCAGTGTACATCGCGTCATTCTTTGGTGTTTTCAGCCCTGCTTTGATCTTGATCAATAATGTTTAAGAAACTGTATCACAATGGAAACTTGTAAGGGTAGAATTCTCCTCCCAGAGCCTCCAGCTGTCCCTCTGTGCTTGATCAGCTGCTCTTGACATACCCAAATCAACCCTGCAGGTTAAGGGAACAGAGTTTTGGAGTGGGGATCCACTGTACGCATCTGAGACAATGGTGTGCTGGGAAACTGCTCTACAAGAGCTCTGCCTGGCACTTGTGTTTTCAGGAACTAAATGTAAAACACTGTGGCTACGTCTAGACAGGTGTGATTTTCCGGAAATGCTTTTAATGGAAAAGTTTTCCGTTAAAAGCATTTTCGGAACAGAGCGTCTAGATTGGCAGGATGCTTTTCCACAAAAGCACTTTTTGCGGAAAAGTGTCCATGGCCAATCTAGACGCACTTTTCCGCAAAAAAGCCTCGATCGCCATTTTTGCCATTGGGGCTTTTTTGCGGAAAATACATCTCAGCTGTCTACACTGGCAAAAGTTTTGCACAAAAGGGACTTTTGCCCGAACGGGAGCAGCATAGTATTTCCGCAAGAAGCACTGATTTCTTACAGTAGGAAGTCAGTGCTTTTGCGGAAATTCAAGCGGCCAGTGTAGACAGCTGGCAAGTTTTTCCGGAAAAGCGGCTGATTTTCTGGAAAAACTGGCCAGTCTAGACACAGCCTGTGAATGGCAGATTTGTTGCTGTTATTGGACTCTTCAGAGTATTTGTGGAGGAAGCGAGTGCTGCTGTTCTCTTTCTGCATGTTCTCCTCCCTGGTGGCCTCCCTACAATCGGCACATATCAATCAGTGTAGTGGCGCCCTGCATGGCAGACAGCATCAAGAGACGGGGCAGAGGCTTGGTAGAAACAGGGCAGAAGGGAGAGATCAGATGATGAGAATTCAAGGAACACTCTCAGAATCCAGAGGTACAGGCCAGCTATGTGATCTATCATCACACACAGGTCGGCCTGGCCTGCTCATTCATTTGATGGCATTGAGCTAAGAAGGGAATGAAAGGGAACAGTTTGGATACAATCTCATTTTAACAGCCAGTTTTGTGCTCCTAAGAGTAGAGTAAGGGTCGCGTTCCTCCCATTGATGGAGCTGCACCAGCAGTGCATTCAGCCCTGAATCTTAACGCATTGAGAGCAGAGAAGCACAGGTGGAGGTGAGCCAGTTGCAAAGGGAGAGGGGATTGTTCCCCCGGAAGCCAACACCCTGTCCTTAAAATTCAAGTCCTCTCTGTTTTAACCCCCAAACCACTTTGGAAAACTTTGAAGGGACTCAACCTTCAAAGCCAATTTTGCGTGTTCTTTGTTTCTTGGTTCTGGCTGGGGCCAGAAGAGAAAAGATTACAGGACAGCCTCTTGGAGGTATTTCTTACGTCCTCCAAAGCCATTCGGCCATTGCTCCTGTGCAGCAAAGAACAGATAGTTTTAGGCCTCCCCTTGGGAGCTAAGTGATAGTTCTGTACAGTTCTTGGTGCGACACCAGGCAGCAGGAACAGAGAAACGGAGATGGTTTCGAAAGCAGCACAAGGAACGGGTGATGTGAAGCAATGAGGCATACTAGCCATCGCCAGCTAGAAAGAACATTGGTTATAAAACGGGCCCAGCCAGCATCGTGCTAAATGCTAGGTGATGATGGTAGGCAACTGGACCCTTTCCTCTTTGTTTTATTTGCCTGATGTCATACTATAGCAGAAGAGAGAGGGTGTTATGTACCTGCATCATGACAGCGTGGTCTCCAGAGAAGGTCTGGTATTTAAATGGAATGTGAATGGTCTCTTTGGGGCGCAGGTAGATCTGAGGCATCTGGTTGTCCTGAAGGTGAAACATGTCCTCTTCGACTGGCGTGCTAATGGTTTGGGTCAGCTCTCTGAAGTGTCTCCACTCCCTGCTGTCCACAATCACACTGTAAAAAATCATAGGCCGAGTTACTTTGGAACAGAATATTCCAGGAGCTGGGGTTCCCCCATCCCAAAATAAGTCTGAGCGTGGTACATGTTGAACCTCTCTAGTCCAGCACCCTCGGGACTTGACCGGTTCCAAACCAGATAATTTTCTGGACCACGGGAGGTCAATATTGTCTAGCAGCATTACCAACACGTCCACTGCTTGCTGGGCTCTTAGAGGATATTTAGGGGCAAATTAGAGCTAAATAACAGCACAGAACTCTGAGCACCAGGCCTGGGGGCTGTCAATAAACTTTATGGGACCATGGGAAACTTGACCACACCGGTGATAAGTGGCCATCCAGCGAATTAAAATCATGCCGGACCAGGGATGTTTCTGGCCCAAAGAGTTCTGGACTAGAGAGGTTCAGCATGTACCTAGACCTCAGTGTGCAAGAGGGAGGGCTGCTGGTACAAAGAGAGTGGCTGGAAAGTTCATGCCCCCATGAAATAGAAAGAAAACTCTAAAATCAACCACAGCTTTGGTTTGAGAAACGAAGACCTCTCCACTCCCTCAGCACACACACACACTGCACAGGGAAGAGAAGAGGGAAGTGTGGCTGCATTTCTCTGAACTGACAGGCATGGCTCAGTGTGAGCAGTAAGATAACGAGGATAGATGTGCCCTAGTGTGCAACTCCTCTATCCTTAGCTTCTCCGTTAGTAGATTGCACCCTTTTGGAGAGCGTTATGGGAAAACAAAGAAAAGTGAAATCTCCTGCATGGGGGGCAGCAGACTATACTGACCTCCCTTCCCTGCTAAAGCCTCCATCGTTAGATGGAAAAGCAACAAGCCACCGCTCCCATAAGCGCCTCTTTGCCCCAGGATGGCTTCCCACGAGCAAGGGGGGTAGTGTTCTGGAGAGCAGAATGCCTTTGGCTCCTACCTCAGCTCAGGATGGTCAATCTCGATGGTCACCGTGTGCTGGACATTGTAGGGGTTTTTCAGGGCAAACTCAAAGAACTCGGCGGTGCCCAGCGTGGCGTAGAGCGTGTAGTTGGTGGTGATGGCCTGACTCAGCATGCTGGAGATGCCTTCGGCCTTAAGGCGCTCCCGGTAAGCATCGATGATCTGCAGGTCCCTGGAGTGCTGCATGCGCTCCTCACGCTGGCCCTGTCAGGAAAGAGACCCCAGTGACAGCCCACTGATGCGGCCCCTCCCCTGCATGTCTGAGGGGTCAGCTGAAGGACCCCAACCCCAGCCCTGAGACCAGAGAGGCTACTGGGTGTTGTCAGGCCTGGCTCCAGTTTGCTCTCTGGGTCCCGGGATGTTCTGGCACACCTCTGGGCTCCTCAACATGAGGCTTGGCTTC